TGACTGAAATGAAATATAAATGATTTGAAATCTATATTAGCCTTTAGATGCATGCATCAGGTATTATTTTTTCAATAACTTTTAAACATCAGTATAGTTGCATGCTCTTCAGCTCAGCAACTTCACTGTAGATTAGACATGTTGAAAATAAGTGAAGCATCATTAAGTTTGAAAGCCTTGAAAATAAGCCCATATATAGTAATTTGTTATTAAGCATAAAACACCTATGTGTGTAAGGGTGCTGTTGTGGCAATTCTGCACTCCCACTCTGACAACGAGGAGTGAGACAAAAATCTGGGGGCGGATGTGAAGCTGTTCTCTTTATACATTTGGCTCGTTCCTCCCCCTCTGTTTGAGGTTGTTTCTGAGCCAAAGGTCAGGATCTTCTGATGACATCAGGGCAACGATGCCTTAGTTTAGCCAATCAGGTCAAGATTCAATCAGTTGCACAGGATTCAGCATGATCAAGGTTAAGAAGAAGTAGAAGAGATACTTTAAGGTGGAAATTCTTTTTACACTCCTTTTTATACATGCAGTTTTTAACCCACAATCCCACACACACACACACAAAGGGCTCATAGACATGCAAATATGGAGAGAGAGAGATGGTAGAGTGATGGGCAGCCCTGGAGAAGCGCCCTGTGAGCAATTTGGGGGTTTGCTGCCTTGCTCAAGGGCACCTCAGCAGTGCCAGGGGTGAACTGGCACCTCTCCAGCTACCAGTCCACCTTCCATACTTTTCAGTCCATGCTGGACTTGAATCGGCCACCCTCTGGTTCCCAAGCCAAATCTCTGTGGACTGAGCTACTGCTGCCCCTTGCAGCATTACATTGTAAAGATTCAAATCATGATCAATCATAGGGGAAATGAACATGAGTACATTCTGCATTATCAACATGTTACATTTCCCTTACAGGTACCTATAAAAAGCAATAGGTGATTGAAAGAGGTACCACTGCATGTAACTTTTTTTAATATATAATATTAATCATAAGAGGGGTGCCCTTTTTTAATTTGAGCACCTGCCCACCAAAATGTCTGTGCACGGCCCTGATATTAGCAATAACTGTCCTGGCAATTCCGCAATCCCACTCTGACAACGAGGAACAAATGACCATGAGTACATTCTGCAATATCAACATTTTTACATTAACTGGGAGATTAAAAAGTGACTGAAATGAAATATAAATGATTTGAAATCTANAAATGACCATGAGTACATTCTGCAATATCAACATTTTTACATTAACTGGGAGATTAAAAAGTGACTGAAATGAAATATAAATGATTTGAAATCTACAATATCAAAGTAAAATATATATTAAATTACCTCATGATATACCCTATGATGTTCCTTCATACTCCCATATATGACCTACTGTGTGGAAGTGTGGGGAAACAATCACTTATCAGATCTTCCTTCTTCAAAAAGGACATTAATAATTGTGAATAAAACCACTGGCAGAGAACAAATCAACTCCCAACGCCAAGGTGTATTCTCGCCAAACCAGAGCCCCCTGCTGACATGTCCAAAAGAAAAATCCTAACCTTACGAAAATCAAGTGTAATGTGATATTTAAAAGGCTCCTCACAGCTGAGCCCTGCCCACATGAACTTGGGTGGCTGGAAGCCAGTGAATCAAAAGCGTTCAGTACATTGTTCAGTCACAGTGGGATCAATCGGTTTGCTGAAGCTTCTGCACACGACTCGTATTTCTCCTTGAACGACAGAATGTCTGAGGCTGAATTATACACGCAGCACAAAGAGGTGTATCTGCTTTCAGGGCTGCACACTCCACAAAGCCTGCAATACTTTGAGGACTTCACGTTTCGCCACGATGATATTGTCATTGTAACATACCCCAAGTCAGGTAAGTTCACACCTCTGGAGTGTGCGCAACAGTAGAGCAAACATGTCGAATCTGGTTTAGTCCAAGTTGAGACTAGCTCTTTAACTTGTAACACCCCACAGTAGCCACAGAGACTTTTTGTACTTAATGCACAATACACTTTTATTTGTACATATTCCATGAATAAAAAAGGAACAGAGAGAAGAAAAATCTTCTATCAGAGGCTCCTTTCATACAAACAATATATCAAAATGGTCATCTCTTTTACTGATTTCCTTTCATTTCAACATTTCAATATAACAAATACTATTTGTAAGACAACTACATCTTTACCTTTCAACACATGTGACTTCTTAAACAGTTTATAGGTATGTTCTCTTACATTGACTTTGTTTTTAAGTCTTAATGCTCTTTGTGTCTAAATTCTCCTTTGCTTCATACAAGACTACATTACTTTTGCTCACTTCCCCTTTATATACTCTATGAGTGGTTTCATAGTAAGTTTGTCATTTATTACAGTAAGTAACCTCAAATTTTGCCTCAGAAACTCTTTCAATATGAACTCTATAACCATCTTGATTTCATCATACGTTTTTAATCACCAAAAGTCATGAATTTACTGTTATTTCGATTAAAAACACATTTTCATCATCTTAAGTTTTACTGTTTTACAAACACTATCTGTAACTATCTTCAACTAAATCATATTCAGGCCAGAACAAAAAATATTTGTGTCACCTGCAAACAGGAGGAATTATTTACCTCGGACTCTTCTTATTGGAGCACATGTAAATAAAACTCAGCCCATACAGCGTCTTTCAGTTTACCTCAACAAAAATAGCAGGTCAAGGTTACTTTTTGTTGCTGACAACCAAGAACTACTTTATTGCAGGTCTGCACACACGTATTGTTTCTATCCCACAGTGAGCACCATTTGTGAATGTGGAATATTATTTGGAAACGAGACAAACATTAGCAAATAAGTGTAAACATTCAGCCACAGCTTGTAATTATTAAATGGTGAGCCAGCAACCGACAAACATTGGCCTACAATGTTTGCTGGTTGCAATGTAGGGTTCCTCATATCGGTTGTCACTTATTAAACTTAGCTGCAGTCAGTTTGTCTGCTACTTTCACAGACAGTTAGTGAGAGAAGAACCTCTACTCTGAAACAACTTTCTTAAATCCTTTTTTCCAGAGGATCATATGATAACAGTAATTTACACACACTAGTGAAGTGCCTGTTCTAAACATACCCATTTGGAATGGGCTGTTTTCTTTATTCAGGCACAACTTGGATGCAGGAAATTGTCCCACTGATCACGAGTGGAGGCGATCCGGCCTCCGTTGAGTCTCTCCACAACTGGGACCGAGTGCCCTGGCTGGAGATCTATTCATCCTGCAACCTTGAGCTAGAAAAAAGGCCGTCACCTCGCATGTTTGCGACTCACTTCCAGTACAAAATGATGCCTCGAAGCTTCTTTGAAGTAAAACCAAAGGTAACTCTGTGTGATGACTTAACTGTCTTTTTTTTTTTAAGTCAAACTGTTGCATATTTCTTAGTTTGCAAAGTAACTTTCTACCCCTGCATTTCTTATTATTCAGTTTATTTCACTCCTCAGTCTAATATTTTTGTGTATTGTCTAATGTTTCTTTCGCATTTTGATATAATGTGAATATTATGTGAAACACTTGAATTGTGCTGCTGCGGAAATGTGCTCAACAAATGAATTTGCCTTGCCTTACATATGTAGCATTTCTCATTGATATCTCTGTGTCTGACTGTACAAAATGTCAAAATAGATGTCCTTCTCCCACATGCTGTATATCAATCATACAAGTGCTTTCATTTCCCTGATTGAACTCCCAGCTTTTCTAGAAATGACATAATGCCTTGTAACTCTGTGTATGTATCAATAAAAACAACAGGGTAGGTGGTCCCACCACTGAACTACATGTCCACATGGTTCTGAGGTCAACCTCCCAAGTTTCAGGTTCTATTTTCCTAACATGTCAAATCCTCTCAACTCTTTTTGGCTGCTACTTTGAAAGCCTGCACAACTACTGAAAATTCTGCGTGAGACATGAAAACCAAGCAGATTGAAGTGTAATTTGATATTCCACTGGTACATTTCCATGTACTATTAATGATTAAGCAATGTCATTATGACTACAGGTCATCTATGTCATGAGGAATCCCAAAGATGTGTTTACATCTTACTTACATTATTCCAAAGTGGCCTCATTCCTGGTGAACCCGGGCCCACAGAGAGAGTTCCTCCAAAAGTTCCTTGATGGAAAAGGTTGGGCAAAATGTTACACTTGTACAATAGAGTATTTATAATAAAATATACTTAGTGAAAGAAACCCTCAACTGATAATAGATCATTGTAAAAAACTATTACATGTGATTTTCTCTCCCTTCTAGTTCTTCATGGTTCCTGGTTTGATCATATCAAGGGTTGGCTGAATGCTGAGGATAAAGATCGCATCATGTACATCTCCTATGAAGAGATGATAACGGTGAGATTTAGCAGTACTCCTCAAAACTTTCTACTAAATTATCTTTAAAATGTTTCCTTAACAATTCTGACCTCACAAGAATACGTGATAACTCATGAATACTTGCAGGAATATGAGCTGTTTTTCTTTTCATTGGTGCAGGACCTGAAGGACTCTGTGGCCAGAATTGCTCAGTACTTGGAGAAACCTCTGGACGCAGAGGTGATAGAGAAGATAGCGGACCGATGTTTGTTCGAGAACATGAAGAAGAACAAAATGTCAAACTACTCTGCTGTTCCTTCAGAATTAATGGACAGGACAAAGTCCGAATTTCTCAGGAAAGGTGTGTGTTTCATTCAATAGCACATACAGTACTGTTAGTAGATGTGGTCCACTGTCCATTCAAATAAAGACACATTTTCACAAATGGTTCCATCAAATGACCCCTCTCGTGTGATGTGTTTCAGGAATAACTGGAGACTGGAAGAACCAGCTGACAGTGTCAGAGGCGGAGTACTTTGACACAGTTTACAAAGACAAAATGAAGGATGTCAAATATAAATTTGTATGGGATCAAAATGAATTAGATGAGCACACTGGATGATAATCACCCCACTATACAATGATTAACAAAATATGCATTTTACTTAGAGACGGATCATTAGTATTACTACTATTACCCATATTACTTTTTTATTACTTCTCTTAATTAGAATTAGAGAATTAGAATTATCCTTGCCTTTTGGGTCACATGATTAAAGGCGGTTTCTTTTAGGGACTCAGAATAAGATGACCTATGTGTTGAATGTGTATTGTGCCATGTGGGCTTTAGGTCAATAAATGAACATGTGGTAGTTTCATTTCTGTCGAAAAGGATGTCAACGAAATGTTGCATTCACGTAACCTGTGAGAAAATGTCTCTGTCATCAATCTTAAATTAGATTCGCTGTGAAACCTGTGGACTCTACATAGCTGTTCTTGGGAGGTCACCTACTGTTTTACATCCATAATAACAACAGTACAGTGGGGACAAGACTAACTAAAAGGCACTAATATTGTATCATTTACCAGGAAGTAGACAGCTATTTACAGCCAGGAAGATTAGGGGACAAGACTAAACTCAAATCCTCATGAAACTGATATGTCCTTTGTGATTGTCATAATAACACTGATTCAATTGTTTTCTGTAAGGACAGTTTAGAGTAGAGAGTTTGCATTTACTATTTTTGCCATGTGACCTGAATGCAGCATAGCGTTAGCGAGGCAGCCGGCTAGCCTTAGCAAACAATAGCGTTTGGTTCTTAGTTCCGCTTCTTCCGTGTCCGCGCTTAATCTCAGCAGTGCCAAGATGACACAACTCAAACACGGTGACACCGGTTATTCTACAGCTCGCTGTTGACCGGTTAGTGCGATTAAATTACAGTCAAACAGTAACACGCCTGGTGTTGTTTGCTAACGCTCACTAGCAGTCCGTGAGGTTAAGGTGGTTCCGTGTTGTGATCCCTTCAGACGGAGAATATGATGAAGTCACGGACTCACCCGGCACCTGCAACAGAGGAGGGATGTCCGGCTCAGTCACAGGTAGATGGGGAGAGTCCGCCACATGTCACTGGGCTTTAACTCGGAGCATTGTGATCACACAGCTCACCGGTACTTTACCGGCTGCTACGATTGGCTGTCACAGTAATAATACATCTCATCTGTACAGCACGTTCCATAGGTTAGATGCAGCTCAAAGTGCTTTGCAATGCAATCAAAGACATGAGATGAGATAGAGCAATGAGAACACGCGTTAAAACATACAACTCGGTATGAAAAGAAGTTTTAAAAGAGTACTGCTACAGTTTCTGTGACAGTCACTGTGGGGGAAATGAGATGTATATCCCATACTTACATCTATGTATAGTCTAATGTGTGGTTGTGTGTATATGTATATTTTGCATGTTATGCCTTTTCGATCTTGCTGCTGTAAAACTGCAAATGCCCCCACTGTGAGACTAATAAAGGATTATCTTATCTTATATATATTGCAGTCTATATAAAGGAGTGTGTTACCCGTTGAGCCAAGTGTGTCATTTCACCCCTTTCTGACCATATGTGTAAACACTGAAGCACATCCATACCCTTTTCCTCCAAGACACTTGAGGTGCAGGCTGGGAGCCAGTGCCTGCAAACTTTAACCTGTTCTTTGAGGTTCAACAGTGAAACAACTGTGTCTTGGCCAGAAAACCTGGTTTGACTCGGACATCGACACTTTGTTGGTCTGGAGGAAAGAATCCCTTACTTAAGGGCCTTTGTTAGGACTATCCTGACCACTGATTACAACAAAAAAAAATTCACCACGATTATTGTGCTTGAAGTCAGAAGTAGCGTTGCTGGGAAATCACAGACGTATAGTATGATGTGCACAGTGAAGTAATGACGTGGCTCTACGGTGCAAACTGGGTCTAAAAAGGTTTGCAAGTCAAACTTACTCTAAACCAGGCCTAGCACCAGTCCAGCACCAACACCAGGGTCACCTGGGTCGAAAAGGGTTATCACACACTTGACTCAACATATAGCAGATTTATTTGATTCAATGCAATGTTTTTATTTAGTTTCACATCTGCTCTGACAAATGTGGCCTGTTACTCTCCTGCTGTCAGTTAAGGTAACCGTGAGGAGAGTGAAGACATGATGCACTGACAACATAGTTGCAAGCTGACCAATACAAGGTATGTTGCTGTGGCTTGGTTTGTCATAAACCCTTAAGGAACACATTGTTAACACTGACGCCAGAGGTACATAGAGAACATGAAAACACTGTGCCGCTTGTTCAATACAAAACTGCTTTGAAGACACAGCTAGAGTGCTCCTTTAATTGTCACCCTGCTAATATCTTGTGGCAGCCATCATGTCACTGTAACTCATAGATTTGTGGAGCAATGGGTACAGTGCCCTGTTTCAAAATCATTCGCCGAATAATGTAAGTAGGACATGAAACAGGAAAATGTGCAAAGCGATGTGCAGGAGCAAGGCAGTAACAAAGTATGGGGGCAGGAAGTGTGCTAGCATGTGACTTTGAGATTAATATCCAATAAGTATGTTGTACATATTCCAGTCTGTTTCATTTCCCTAGGTTCAGGTTAGTGTTTAACAGTGACTCATGGACTGTTGCTGAAATCTGATCAGGGTGGTTTATTACTCAGCTGAAGGAAATGGGCTGGTACTGGCCAGGAATGTGAAACTCAAAGCTTCAGCTTCACTCTCCTGTTTTGTTTTCCCTTCTGCCTCCACTGATGACATTGCAGCTTTTGCTTACATTCTTCACCATGTCATCTGCTGAATACTGTAACGTTAAGTCTCAGCAAATATCATATGAACATTATAAAAACAGACATTTAGATGAATTAGTGCTTCAGTGAAGTTTGGTTACTGCACTGCAGGTTATGAAAGACTGAGTGGATGTTGCATGACTGCACCCAGCTGTTTTTTGCCTGCTCTCTGGTTGCCTCCTTCTATTGCTTTGTCTGTGTGGTGTGGCATAACCATTTCCAAGAATGAGGGAGTATGGCTAACACAATAGCCTGCCGGTCGCTTTCAGTTTCGTTTCTCTGCGATTAGGGGGAGAAGGAAACCTAGGGGAGGGGGTGGGATTAGAAAATAAATAGGAAGGTTGTTACTGGTTCATATGATAGTTGGGACTCTGAGGGAGATGAACCACAGCACTTGTTGTTTGAAAGAATAGGTAAGATCAACCTGCCTCTGCTTTCCTACTTATTCTTCACGCAGATTAGACTCTATTTTATCTTTGTGCCTCAATATATGCTGCCAATATTTTGCAAAGACTAAACAGAGTATTTTAAAATACTTACTCAATAGTTATTTCTGTAATGTAATAGATATGGTTTGACACAGTCAAAATACAGTATTAAGATTTTATTTCTGAGAAGATGTAGTGTCACAGGACACAGGATCATAGACCATATCGATGTTTGTTTGTTTGTGTTCATAGGTTTGAATGTAGTTTTGTTTTTTTGATTGTTCAAGTGAGAAAACCTACTTGTAAATTTAACCTCTAGCAAGCAGACATTAATAATGGGTGTTTAAATAATTGTAAAGTACAAGAGTTTTGGCTGTAGAAGACAGCCTCTTTTAACCTTTGTTTTCTTAATGGCCTGCAGAGCATTTGTAACCAGAGTTTTTTCAAATTGCTTAACAGATGGCACAGTTGACACAGTCTTCTTCTTATGAAATGCACATTAAACTGATTGTTTGATTTGGGCCTACGAAATGACTTCTAACTCAATATGGCCGCTTGTAGCCAAACTGACTTATGGCTTATATCCAAATGTTGCTTTGAAAACTTGAGACTTTAACTTTTGTGGTAAGGTCACACCTAACATTACAAATATGAAAATAACCTGTGGAAACCTTCAGTTGTGTCAGGGTTCAGTCGAGGGTGACGTGAGAAGGGGAGGACCAAAACGCAGAAACTAAATATGGTTTAACAAAAAGTGTGTTTTATTTAAAAGGGGTAAACGTAACAAAAGAAATCTTCAAGAAACAAAAGTCGCACTCAAAAACAGGAGTGGAACACAGGAAGGACAGGAAACAAACTTACGGGGAAACGTGACGAGAGCTGACGGGACACATGAACAGAACAGAACCAGAATCGAGATGACGGACAGGACCTGACCAGAAACGAAGATGACGAACCAACAACCACATGGGGGGAACACAAAGACTTATATACACACTGGTGAACCTGATGAGGGCAGGAAGTCAATGGGTGAAAACACACAGGGAGCAAGGACTACAAAATAAAACAGGAAACACTGAACAAACTTATCAACGAGAACAAAATACAATAACCAAGACAAGGAGGGGAACACAGGAGAATCACAGAGTGGAGCACAGAGGAAGGCAGAAGGGAACATGAGAGGAACACTGAAAATACATAACCGTGACAAGTTGTCATAAAAACTCAGAAAGGTGTTTAGTTTGTCCAGTTTGAACTACTGTAAACAACATGGTGGCCTCCATAGAGAGGACCCCCTTGATGTAAATATAAAGTATTTAGATATAAAGGCCCCATTCTAGGGTAAAGAAATAAACAATCCATACAATTTAGATGCAAGACACTAGGGAAAACATCACAAGGATTATTTTACATTCAATTTCAGCCAATAGATCCTTTTCACCTTAATCTTACACACTGAAACTTTAAGTGCCCAAAGTATTAAAGTTGGTCATATTCTGGTTGGAGGCAGATCATTCTCCACATGCACTTCAAAATTTTTATGGAATATCCTTAAGACAAAGTTGTCTTCATGAATTTATTTAAGCAGGAAATACAACAGAGAGCATAACAGAGTCTGTACCGTGCACAGTTAAAGACCGTGAGACAGTTACATTTCCATTACAATTATAAACTTGATCAGATCTTCATCTAAGTCAAATGCAGAGAAAAAAAAGTGCCTAAGCTAATAACACACAACCAACTTTAACCTTTCATGTCTTTTTGAAACAAATGTGCGACATTCACAGTCCTTCCATTTGTTTAATAGTTGAATGTCATTTAACAGCAATAGCCTTTAACAAGCGGTAGCTGCGGATCTGACCTGCATTAACATTCTGAAGCAGTCTTGGGATACATGTTGATAACATTGCCATTCGTGCATTTCCTGAATAAACAAATTATTTT